TTACCCGCAATACAGTATACTATCGTAAATTCGTGCTGCATCACATGCACTCCTTATAAACCGAATAAAAAATTATATAATAAATTTAATGCCATGTTTTGTGTGTGTGTCTGCGCGTGCAAGCATATCTCCAACAATCCTAAGGTTGGGACAACGGGGAACCAAGATGAAACGTTCAACACCCCCATCATAGAATTCTGCAATTCGGGTCTGCGCACGCTGGGTCGAGGCGCACTGGGCGAAGAACTGCTCGCATTCTTGAGACCCGCAGCCACGAATGCCAAATAAAAACAAACTGTCATACAGGAGCTGACGGCCTGCTAAATATATCAAACGAATCATCCGTGTGCGAACAGGTATAATCAGCTGGTCATGCAAGTTAACGCACGATTCTAAAATACGTGCGTAAATCGGCCTGCTCTGGTGCTGGAATGAAGCTCATGTTTTTATAAAGAGAGATTCTTAGTGAAACCAGTGAAAGCAAACTTGCGTTTAATATTTTTAACTTATTCCCGAGTGGCTAACCTTATCGATATGCAAAAAAAGAAAAAGAAAAAAAGGTATAAGAACATGCACGAACGCCACGCGGGGAAAGGGGTTCGTAGTGCGGCGGGCGACGGGGACGTTGGAGAAGCCTCAAAGATGGCGTCGAGCCTCTGACAGTACTTGTGCCCGCCGAGACATGGCGCTAATAATGAATAAGGTCTATTGTGACGAAAAATTCCCCCTTACTGCTGCGTTCAGTCGTTGAGATCCTCATAGACGTAACTAAGGAAAGGCGGGAGCGTACGACGTGCGACGGGCAGGTACATGAATTGGGGTGCAGCAGCAGGGCTCTCGGCCGGCTGGCCCTGGGGAAGCATCTCTAGGTTCAGCGACTTCTTCCTTGGTTGTTGCACCACAACCAAGAAAGCCAACATATCGACGGCTGGCCTTGAGTGTGGCGGCTTGCTCGGGATTTGCCTGACTCCGCTGAAGGAAGCTCTCCGGAGCCTTAAATCGATCTGGTCCGGCGGCTCCTCGGGGGCGTACGAGGGAAAGAATCAGAAGGTACCCTGCACCTCCACCATCAATGTTCCGGGTGGAAATAGATCGACAAGCGTAAAGAGAATATAAAGGTTTAATCAGCGAACTTGTGCCAGAAACCAAAAGAAAGAATGATACTACGCAATACTATCTCAGAGATACTTTTGAGTATCTGTATCTCTGTATCAAAATACATTCCAAAAATATATTTGCATCTCAGTAGTGTAATGCACTTGCTATGTATCGGTTGTAACGCGATACTCGGCCAGGCAAAGTTATCTCGTTGCATTCGGGGGGGAGGGGGGGGGGGGGGGGGGGGGGGGGGGTTAGCAGCGTTAGACGTTACCAAAAGATCGATGAGATATAAAAAGCCCTGAAAAAAACCCGATTTTTTTTTTTTTTTTTTTTAGAATGTCAATTTTGCTTTTGCTGCCCGCTTTATTTTACAGTGGACAGCGCTTTATTGTCCTGACGGCAATCGTCAGGTTTCCTTCATAGAGATGGTGCTGTGAGACGTCTAAGGTTCACTCCTTTTGTGAAACGATTGTCCTCTTTTGTCCTGTATGGGGTTCACTGCGGAGCATAATGGTTTCTCATCCGTATCAGGAAAAGCAATTATGAAGAAATAGGAGTTCGCGACGAAGAGAAAGAGGAGGTATCGCCTCATCATTTTCAAAATGGAAAATGATGAGGCGATACTCGCCATCTGTTCTTACCCCTCCTTCAAACTGCAATGGACATCCAGCGAAGTGGCAAACACTTTCGACTTTGAGAACTTGCTAGTACGCGCCGCCGAAAGTCACGGACCAGACCCAAAGGACCCAAGCGACGAGGCGGCTTCATCAACGATGAGTCACGGGTTCTACGACTTTGAAGATGGCAACTCTTAGGTTTCCGCACGGTCTGCACAGACTCGCGTGAAAGGCGAGGTCTTCCGCTATCTTACTGATTCAAGAAAAGATGTCTCCATGCTCCAAAAATTCCCAGCCACGAAGGCGGTATTTATTCATTTTCATACGAACTTGTGGTCCTCTGCAGTGGTGGAGAGACTTTTCTCGTTCGCGAGTCTTGTACTACAACCGAACCGTCGCTGTCTTGACGGCGAACTGCTTGAGAAGCTTCTCCTAGTCAAGCGCCATTATTTTAAGTCTTCCCAGTCGGCGAGAACCTTTCATGAATCAAGAAAGGTGTTTTTCTCGCTTGAAAATTCCGGTTTGTTTGTTTCTTGCGCCACATTTGGGACTCGCGTTTTATGGGTCATTGCGTCGCTTATAGTGCATTCTTAAATATTTTTACGGAACATGACGTCACTCGAGGAATAAAAGTATTTCAGTATCTGTATTTTATTATCTGTATTTTTGGATACATTTTTCCTTTTTTTGCAGATTATCTCCGAGATATCCCCGACCCCATAGAGCAAAAATAAATGTATCTCAGTATTTCTATTCCAGAACACTTTGTTAATATATCTCAGTATTTCTATCCCTGAATACTTTTTTGAGTATCTCTGCCCAGGCCTGGTTCGCAGCACTAAACACCTTTTCAGTCCACCTTTTTTCTAAATAGCTGTTGCCACCTGTACGCGCGACTGAGTGAATAGAAAACAAGGCGTTCGCAAGACTTCCCCAACCAGCTCGACACTCAAAGCATCAGCCAGATCCTCTAGCCCCCTTGAGACACTTTGACCTAACTACGGCTCCACCAAATTACGCTTTTCTCCCCAGTGTAGATTATATTGGTCCCTGAAGTTGATACAAAGAACTCATCTCTCTCTCTCTCCCTTTCTCTCGGCCAGAAGGAAACAAAAAAAAGAGTGTAGAGACAAAAAAAAAGAAAGACGCGCACATATCCTTTACACCAATCCGTGTGCACTTCGACGATTTTTTTGTTTTTTGCGGGGGGGGGGGGGGGGGGGGTGGGGGGGGGGGCGTTGCTTTTTGTTTGATGGAAACATTTTGAAATCGAGAGTTCCCTAATATTGCTTGCATGGAGAGTCCGGTTCTTTGTATCCGTTTGCTTCCCACTTCGTCGTGGGCGAGCAAGCTGACGTCTTACGATTGGCAAACAACCCAACCAATATATATATATATATATATATATATATATATATATATATATATATATATATATATATATATATATATATATATATATATATATATATATATTTGAGTCGAGGTTTTAGGTTACTTGAAGAAAGGCTTTGAGAATCTGAAGAATGGCAGACCTTATGTTTTGTAAATGCAGGCGACAGCGTGAATCCGGTCGTGCTTACCTTACAGGAAAAAAAAAATTTACGATCCTTCTTGTCAATATTTAAAGCTCTTTCATTTTTCCTCCGCGAATGAAAACAAAAATGAAACGGATTACAACCATTTCCTTACGTAGAGAAAGTAATAAATTTTCTTTAAAATTACTTTCTGGAATATGCAAGCAATTATTCCCTTACAAAATTACTGATAAATGTAAGGGATTACATGTAATTTCGTGACTTGGAACGGATTACGTACAAATCTGATTGAGCCCTTTGAATATCTAACACTTGCCTTCTCGCACATTCTTAAGGCTGTTTGATATACAAGGCAGAGTAAAAAAGGAACCGAATTGAAGTTATAAAATCGAAATCTTGCGATAGACTGCTGTGCTTCAAATGTTGTTTAGCCCTCCATTCAAGTTAGCTTGCACACCCTTCCAGCGGCCTGCTTAAACATTTAACATGACTACAGCACTCTAAAAATGTCCGCTCTCTTCAGAGCGTGCACCAGGGAGGGGCAGCGCTTATTAATTAGGATTTCGGTCCACAGAATTAAAAGTCCACGGACATTTATTGCAAGATGTTGAAGCAGTGTGGAGGCGCCCGTATGTGACTTCGACGGCTGTGCGTGTGGTACAAAATGTTTCAAAGCGTAGAGTCAATTCTGACTGATGCACCTCGCTCCGGCCGGGCTCACTCACACTTCGACGACGCTGTACTTAGTATGAGAAGTTAAACAGTTATGCAAGAAACGCGCCTTGTCCCTGTCAGTGAAATGGCTGAAGAATAAAATATGAGTTATGTCTAGTGACTCCACAAGATACATGTTATTTTGCAATGACATAAAATGTCCGCTCGCTGGGTACCCAGTCAACATAAGCTTCATATTAAGGAGCGCCATTTGGACGTGTGCGAGACGCTGCTCCAGCGCTATAAAGCTGAGAGAGAGGATTTTTGTAAAAGCATTGTTACCGGGGACGAACGTTGAATTCACTAAGCCCGGCCAAAGACCAAGCGGGCAAGCAAAGAGGGGAGGCGCACTTCGTTACCAAGATTAAGGAAGTTCCGGGCAGTTCGGGCACCGGACAAGGTTATGCTCACGGTTTTCCTGGAACATAGAGGAACAGTAATCGAACATTACATGCCCAGAAACTCAGTGTCAGCAACACGTCGTATGGTGGCCTGCTCGAGAACTACTTCAAGTCTGTGATCAGTTCAAAGCGCCGTGGCTTGCTGACTTTGGTGTGTTCCTGCATAATGGCAATGCCCGCCTCCACTCGGCACGTGCGACAGCGTAAATATATCTATTCCACGTTTTCAGTGCATTCAGCATCTGCAGTACTCAAGAGACTTACAGCGAGTAATTTGAATTTGTTAGAAACAAGCAAATCAGTTCTCGGCGGAATGAATATCCGTACAGGGGATAGGCTAAAACCGGAGGTGCATCCTTGTCCTCGAAGTCACCAGCAAGATGTTTTGTGTCATATCATCCACGCGTGGGTGATGCGTTGGTGCAAACCTGTTGATCGCTGGAGAGACTGTGATAAAAAGAACTGTAAATTGCTTTTAATTTTGTCTTTAATATTATGCGAATAAAAATATGTTCCGTTTACTCTTTTACTCTGCCTCCTGCAGATACATTATTTTGTGTATAAATATTTGCGTTTCAATAAGATGCATCCTTTTGTATCTCACAATGTACATTTCAGGGCGCACAATGATGAAAAGGGCGAATATGCATCTTCGAACACCGATGAGGCTGACTACGCTTGTTTGGATGCTTTCTGTACTGAATACAGGATGGAGCATTCTTACATCCACTTCAGGTAACAGCTTTACGAGTACCTTTTAATCATAAAATCGCAACTTAAAAATGTTTAAATGTTTAAATTTCAACTCAAGCATAGTATTTACGGCTAAGCCCCTAGTTTCATTGAAGGTTACAGGCTGTTCTGATTGTTTGTAATAATCAAAATACATACACGTTATTTAAAAATTCAGAATGACCCTCTGTTGTGATGACGCTTAGACAGGTATAGCAAATAAGAATTTGAGTTTTTTAAAATTAATTTAGTCGGTATTTATATAATTAAGTATGTGGCACTGCATAAAGTCGTAATAAAATGTTGGTACCTATAGAATTATTCACATTTATTTACAACCGGTGGATAGTACAAAAGATAAAGTTGGAAAATCGCTACAAAAACCACGTCCAAAGATGTTTTGTACGAAAATGCACGAACGGGAAACTAAATAGGCTCAACATTTGTTTTACACTGTATCAGATTTATTAGACAAGTGTGTTGCAACAGAGTTGATTTGATTAATTTACGGCTAAGCGAGCATAACATGTAGAGTCTTTTGTAATTCATGTAAAAAAGTACTTAGATTTCAGCACTAATTATTATAACATAATGTTCCTATACTTGCAAACAAAAAACATAATCAAGGTTTTTTACAAATTCCCTTGCGCTGAATCATGCCACAAATAAGCCGATGGGCTGAATACTGTTTGGTTTCAGTGCTTTAGTGATGATCGTTACCCTAAATATTAGTCAAAAAATAAAAAAGACAAGAGCTTTAAACCTTGCAGCTGAAAGTTGCTTGAAAATCACATTTCACATGACGTTTTAAACAAAAGCTCTTTGCTACGACTTTTTTTGTTCACGTGACAACATTTATTTTGGAACTACTCACGTTGGGGGGATACATCTGAAATCACGGAAGTAATCGCATCTTTGTTTGCAAACACACTTGTAAAAGTTTGACTAGCAGTAGAGATTTCGCTAAAGCACTTATCATATTCAAATCCTGGAAAAGTTAAGGCTCTTATCAGTTGGCTTTAATGCCGATGAACTCAACACGTTGCTTTCAGAAGTTTAACTCCAAGGGAGGACACTAATAAAAATTTGCACTATTTACGACATGTAATTTATTTAATCTGCAATGACAATCATTTTTTACAACTTCATATACTACTCAGTAAACATAAAGTCCCTCTGCTTTCAAAAATGTGCTCAGGAATTGTTAGCTCATTACATCTTTACGCCCTTTAAAGGCTGAAATGCGTGTATTGCATTCTTCAATTAAAATACTTTATACAGGTGCAAGTGCCGTCTTTGTATAAATATTTTAAAACGTCTGTATTCTATAATTTATAGTAGTTCAAATTATTTTCATAAAAAACATACATTGTACGCTGACTTTAATTATCTTCAGCTCAAGACACGGTTTTAAAGATACAGAACACTCAGAAACAAACTGATTGAAACACTGAATAATATTGTTAAAACGAATAAACCTACTAATTGGAAGGCAGCGAAAAGTCGAAGAAGAACATTGAGCGTGACCTCTAAACCTGTCTTATCAGTACAGATGGAAGAAGTTCACGTAGATTTCACGTAGATTAGTCAGCAGAGATGGCTGGCTTGCAGAGCAGTTAAGGCCGGAGAACGTCAGTTGCGCTTGCTTTACGCCAGAACCTTGATTGCCTTTGTGTACAGCTCGCGTATTGTACTGTAAAACCCTTAATGTTCGCGAGCCCTCAATTTTCGCGAATTTCACGAATTGAAGAATTCGCGAAATTTAAGGGCGCGCGAAAATTTCGGTCCTTAAGATTTTCAATGCAGGCGTCTGGAATTCGCGAAATTTAGTGGTCGCGATTATGTCATCTGTGACCGATTCGCGAAAAATAGGGGCCGCGAAAAGAAAGGGTTTTACAGTATATTGGGGGGATGAAATCTAGTTAAAACACGGCTCACAATTTGGAATACCTTGCACCAAAATTTGTATAATAAATATTAAGCAACAACTTCAACGGCATGCTGCACAGCGTTCAAAAAGCATATTCACTTCAATCGCCCTTTTAATTCACATAAAATTGGTTTCATTCTAGATAGTGACAAGGTTTGCAGGAGCCCGGAATGTACGAAAATGGGTAAGCGAAACAACACTTTAATTAGAAAATTTAAAGAAATTCAATTCGGTAAATTAACGTCTTACTGGAACTTGTCGCGGTTATTACAGATCTTGAAAAGAAAATTGTGGTAATACGTTTACTACTACCTACAGCGTGTCGGTGAAAAACTTGCGGGTATTTACGCATTCTTATGACCATATTTAAGACCTTACCACACAATTCTGAAGAAATACTAGCTTTCTGAATTTAACTATAAAAACTGAAATTGATGCCGTCTCTAAACAAGAAGCTTGAACCACGAGCATAATCTTTTCATTGCTGAAATCATGACACTTCAAAACTTATAAGAAAAATTAAGCAGGCACATTTTTATCATTCGAGCACCTGTTTTATGACAATGTGGTAATAGTTAAAGAAATAGTAATAACATTACTTTTCGTACAAGAGCTCCGGCGCCGCGGAAAGAAAAGTAGCTTATATCATGAAGGCCTGCGTTGCCGAATCTAATGATGAGGTTGTGATATAATGTACAAATGACACAGGAGGTGTTGACGGTGTTTAAATGCAGTTGAAGGGCAAGGGGTTTCGATATTTCATGTAGACTCCGAACTGCTCTCTTATTGTGTAAGTTATAAGTCCCATAACAGTCTTTTTTCTGCAATAAGAGTATTCAAATAATATCAAGAAATACTATCAAAGAAGTCACATAAAGGACCTAAATATTTTGTTGACTCATTTTTCGCTTGGTCATCAGTAGCGATGTTAAGGTCCCAATAAACACGCTAACAGAAAACACTCAATGGTTACGAAGTGCTACTATTTGGTGTTTTTTGTTCAATGGATATTTGCGAGAGCTTTAATTGGTAATCCCATCTCTATGTGTTTTATACATTGATAAGTAATATTGCTCCGCTTTTCTGGTAACGAAATTAACAAAAGTTTGTAACATCAAACTTCGTATCAAGATTTTATAATTTGATATCGCAAAGAAATATGTAGTAATTACAGGTAAATAAGCCTTAGCACATTGCACTGCTGAACTGCAGTCCATTGAGTGCAAACACTTTCTCAGTAACTTGAAGTTTCAAACCTTGCATGAAGTGTGTGATGTATAAAAATATATGTGTTGCCGTATTATATTCACATTCTACTGACAGCTATATATGAGTGCTGATTGTTTAATTGTACCTCTTCATTTGTCCAGCATTTCATGTGTAAGACGTTTTGTGTTGTTACGCATTGTATGACTCGGGGCACTATAGTAGCGAACCATCTCTTACAAGATATTATTTCTGTAATATTGTCACGAATGGCAAGTGACGAGGCAGCGAATAACTGAGTAAACTGAACGTTTAATTGAACGTTTAACTTGTGCCCATAAGAAAATAAAAAGGAGACAGAAGATAACAAGAGAGCTTCGCGAGCGTCAAAATCGGCGTAAGAAAAGAGTCGAACGCTGGAGCGAGACTGACTTCGCTCGCCTTGCGGAATCCTTTATGTACCCTCGTGGGTTTCTGGATCGTTCGGCGTAGAACTTTCGGTGCGTAGAACATTCGGAACTCGATCAGACGAGAATGTTCTCGAACTTACGAGAAGGCTAAGTTCAAAGAATAAATAAAAGGACAGACCGCTAACTGGAAGCGAACCTACATCTTCCGCGCGACAGTCAGGCGCGGTATCCACTAGGCATTTTTTTTCGTTTTTTTTTTTTGTATTTAGTTGGCCACGCACGCGCTTGCTCGCCAACGCGCGTGGCAGTATGTGTTATTAAATTTAAGGTAAGTAGTAATATTAGGTAAATATAGTCCTATATTCTCGCCACAATATTGGCAAGAATATCACCCATGCGAACACGCATCACAATACACGTATGATAAGATTGAAGATTTAATTACGAAGAAAATACTCTATCTGCTCCTTTATATTTTCTGATAAAGCACTATAATACCTTACTGCTCACGAGGAACGATAATAATAACATGGTCTTTTTTTACACAATCGATCTCGAATATACTGGGTTTCGAAAAATTATTTTGTTCAATCCTTTGTGACATATTTTATTTTGTACTTGTAATATTGTACATACTTCGGACATACGCTTATTATAAAATCTTTTTTGAAAGTGTCTCAGAGGAGCCGTAGTGCAGTATCGCGTGCCTCTGAATCGAGGAAAGCCTTTAAAGTGACAATCTAAATCGGTTTGGTAACGTATCGTGCTATGATTTACCACAGAGCTGCCTTAAAATGGTGGAAGCATAGCATCCAAATTTCAAAAAGTGAACTTACCGAAGTAAAAACTAAATAGAAATACAAAGTCTGATGTTGCTGCTTTTGCTACCTGCGGCGCCTGTTTGCTGATCGCGCACCCCCTGACTGGCGCAACAACCGGCAGATGGCGGCAGCGCGGTCCCTGCGGAAAAGAACAGCTCAGCAGCCGTGCGCTCGCGCCAAAAATAATCATACAATGACAATTAGAATATCAAAAAAGCGCGCGCCGTCTATGACCAGAGAAAGGTGTCTGCGTTTGGTACAAAAGCAGACAACATTTTCTCATTATGAACGGCTCGCGCTTTCTTAGTGCTCTAATAGTCAATGTATGATTTATTTTTTCTTCCCTATCAGACACAATAAATGGACACACGCAAAAAATCAAACAGATCATTTGTAGAGTAATTCCAGCTAAATGCCGTCTGAATTTGGCGCGACCGGGCAGCTGCTGAGCTACCCCGAGCCGCCGTAGGGGAAGCTCCCTAAGCAGTCGGTGGCGCCGCCAGCGTTTATCGGCTGTTGCGCCAGTCAGAGTGCGCGATTAGCAACGGGCGCACCGTAGGTTGTGTAAACAAGTTATTGTTTTTTACCCTTAGACACGTAAGTTCGTTCGTTAAAATTTTAAAGCGAAGCTCCGACCACCTTCGGGCACTTGCGTGGTGAATCGTAACGCGATACGCTATCAATACGAGTTTATAAGATACTGTAAATGTTTCCCCCGGTTAGGGGGCTTCCGGTCGTTTGAGAGGTAACGAAAAAGCGAGTGGTCAAACAAAAGATCCTCGACCGGGGAAAATTCAACCACAAATGCCGTTTCCGCTTTCCTTCATTTCAAGGATTCGCCCAGAACATATACATGTTATTCGTGAAACTTGAAAATTCGCAATAAAGTGGAGATTTGGGCCAGTAGATAAAATTTGGCCCAAAGCTTCCGCTTGGTTTGAGATTCAAAAACCCACGCCAAGATATGTCAATCATATAAATAGTGCCCTCTATTAACGACCTAAATAATATAGCACCACTGAAAAAAAAACTTTGCGCACCGTCCTTCGTTGATTGTGTCGTTTAGTAAAGTATACGACCGTAAGACTCTAGACACCTTTCGCGCATCAGTGACCCGAGTAGCCACCAGACGGCGTGCGCTTCGAGCCACCATTACTGGCCTCCAAATTTTATCGCACCTACTCTTCCAGGCCTACCGGAGATTTCATTTATGACCACTGGCGCGCAATGAATGAAAACTCAAGCGCGAGCTTGAATTGTAAGCGTCTGATATTTCACGAAGGGAGGAATCGACGACACGTGCTTTATTTGCAAAATTTGAGTCGCTCTGTTGTCGTAGAGACGCTGAAACCTACCAGTGTGTTATAAAAGGCTCAGGACAAACACAGAGGCCGCGAAATCTCACATCATCCGTGTGCGGGTGAAACGTGGAACATTCGTCGACAAAACTCCCACAGCAGAAACCTGTAACGCATTCACTCAGCGTCCAGGATAGCTAAACATGGAGACATTGCCCGAGGCTTGAGCAAAATCATATCTGAACATCAGCTATCTTGCCCCGTCATATTTTGTTTGAGAAAGTTCTCTTTCTCATTGCCCTCACCAGAGAAATAAAAAGTCGTACGAAACATATTACTATTTCAACGAACTAGATTTAAGCCGTATCCTTTCAGTGGTTCACTCATAATGCCATGCTTAAAGCGAAGCAAAGTCTTGCGCATACAGTGTATGGCACACCGTGAATTCACGAGGGCGCCCATCAAACCATTCGGCCAATCTTGGCCGCGACACGATCACATGGTCGTGTTGCCGCGGGGCCGATCGGGATCTCGAATTCGGCTCCCGACGCGCCGCTTTCTCTCCTAGCCACTGGAGGGCGCTGCAGGCGTCCCCGTGGCAGGCGAGGAGAAACCTCCTCGCCCATCGATAGATATACTCGGTGGGGCAGGGGGCGAGAGGCCTCTAAGAACTCCGGACGAGACCGAGACGCAGGCAGGCAAGTGGGTGGCGACCGGATCTAGGATATCGCGGGCCGCGAGGCCTAAGGGCCTTCTTTGTGTTTGGCGTTGGGCTTAACGTGCGGTTGTAAATATATGTGTAATGTAGCTTGTATTTGTATTTTAGATTGAGTGTTTTGTAGCGTTGTGTGTTATTGTACCAATAAACTGGGAGCGGAATCCCGCTCCCGTGAAAGAACCAGGCTGGACTCGGGTTGTTGACGGACCACGTGGGAAACGGGGAATCGGCGGCGGTACGCGATTTCCTACAAGTGCCATAAATTTTCTTTAGTGTATGCTGTTTTGTAGTCAGCTGGTTTCGGAAACTTACGCCGTCTGTAGATATGCCTGACAGCCAAGTTGCTGAATTGGAAGTCATCGGAAATATAAGTTACACGTTTCAGCAACCAAATTCCACGGATAAACGATGGCACCGACGGCACTCTCGCATTCCCACCCATCACGTCGAACAAAAAGGCGCTAGTTTCGGTTTGAGGTCGGTACTTTTCTACCACACCTATGGCGTCAGCATCAGTCTGCACTCGGTGTATTCGGCAAGTTCATCTGGGGCTGGTTCTCCGTGCAGCACTCCGCGGGGGCAATGCATTAGAACTGTCGCGGTGCAAGTCTAGATCGCGGATCGGGAGCCCGTCACTGGCATCACCGGCGGCCATGCTTGACAACAAGCAATACACGCAAGTCTAAGGGAGAAGAAACACGCAAAAGTAGGAAGCTTGTACGCAGTGTCTGAGGGCCAGTATCTTATGACGTGCTGCGATCATTATATCGGGTGCTTAGAGATCAAATAGACATTCGTCAAACGTTCAAACATCGATTAAAAAAAATAGGCCGGAGCACCGCCGACTTTACCGACGTCGCTTGCTTCAGTTGCTAAATGAATGACACATTCAGCAACTGAACGGCACACTCCGAGTTTCAATTTGTCACGGAAGCCCTCACAACAGTTAAAAAAAAAAAAAGCTTTCACCAGAAGCACTATGTACAAGTAGTTAAAGCGATCCGAATGTCCCCAGTAAAGGCCTTCTAACTTATCGTTTGCTGAAGTCTGATGACTCAGAGATCACGAATAACTCCACAATAACTTTCGGTAACCATTGTCTCAATAAAGACCCAACATAGTCGCCCTCGACCCTTAACCACAGAAGATTTACTTAAAAAAGGATCGGTATTCTAACACGTTTAATATTCTTGCCCACAATACTAACTGTTATCTCCGGAAAACACGATAGAAGTGTCATGGTCGAGAACAACCTACTAATGTAATAAAATTGAGTTTTCCCGTTTCTCCTATAGCAAGCAATAGCTCGTGTCAAGCGATGACTGTCGGTGGTGCCGCTCGACCCCAGCAAACAGGCCTACTAAGAGATCAGTGGCACCAACGCTATTAGACATAAATAATTTCTTTGCATTCAATTTTCGCGATGAGAACGTAAACAGCACCACACTGCCAAATCTCAAGCAAAGCTTGAGATTTCGCAGTGTCTGCAGCGTCTGCAGCTTCACTCGGAAATACCAAAGCGCCACGATGCGGGACAGGTTCGATGAGAGTTTCAGTGGTTTCAGTTTCGCTTCCGAGTTCGTCGCCTTGGTGGTGCAGGCGTATTAACCTTTTTCAGACAACATTTTCAGTGGAATTTGAGTGGAAAACGCGACATGAGTCCCGTCCTTGCACCCAACGACGCCGGTAAGCATGCCGTCGGCTCGGGCGAAGCCGTCCTTGGTGCGGCCTTGCTTTCCTCATGGAAGTTAATCCAACGGCTGCCGAGGCACTCGACGATGGCAGCCGCAACAACGCTGACAGCCCGGCTCGCAGTCATCTGGGAGACAGACAGGTGCTCGTCAGTCGCCTTGAAAGCTACGGTTTCCGAAAAATCGGAGCGCGCTGAAAACTTGCTGTTCCACGGTCGTGGCAGACGCGATCGTCAGCCGCCTCGGGACTCTGGGCGCCGAATGAAGCTTTTCGCACAGCCAACGCACAATGACCTTCGATAGCCGGTACTGTCACCAGAAGTCGTCGTCGCGGAGTTGAAAGGCGTCCCCGCGTCCCGGTTGTCTCGATAGCAACGCCGACGGTGGCGTAAGATAAGCTCAGCCGCAGCGTTCAGCACCACCATGTTGACGAAGTTTAATTTTGCCTCGATCCGAAGCGAAGATTTCGGGCTCAAACCACGACTCTCCCAAAGTTCTGAAACGTCACGTTGACGTCAGCGACAACTTCGAGAAACGAGGTTTCTAATCACTTTTTTTTTTTTTTTCACAAACTTTGGAGGGGTTTGGAGCGTGAACAGGTCGCCTAGGAACAACCTGCAAAGCATTAATTTTAGCTTGGCGTAGGGGTGTAGGGACAAACGGGCGCTACGTCATCAGCGAAGCCGTTCAATGAGCGGGCTCCTCGCGTACCTCTCGCGCTGCACGCGACCCTCGATGAACTTCGCTACATTCTGCCGCTCTCAAAGAAATGAGCGTTCTAATGATTGACACTCGCTCGGCGCGACATCAGCGTCGCGAGAGCCCAATTAGCGCGTTTTGCAAACTTCGGGCACACAGTTGTGCTCGACGAATTTAGCGACCTTGATAAATGTAGTTTTCATTGCGTTTTATTAAACAACGCTTCAAAGACTGAAGAAGAAGCCTCAATAGACATTACGCCTATTCTTGCTTTCTGTTCATGTGAAAGATCAATTTGAATTCAAAGAAATTTGTTCAACTCGGTTTCATCAAGGAAAACACTGAACCTAACTCATTTTATATAACGATCTAGTAAATAAGGCATCCATCTATACAAACATAGTTAGATATCATAAATTTCATTTTGATGTAATGTTAATGCAGACTATACGATTGTAAATGCTAGCGGGGAGCTTAGCATGATTCAGTTATATCTTAAGTGCTGGCGCATTATATTTGAAGAAATCAACGTCTTGACTTTTGTTATGTGGTTTTGAAACCCTTGCATTGCCATTCGGAACTTAACCTCTAACTAAAATTCAACAAAAACTATTAAACTAGAGTTTATGCGAAAGGAAGTTATTTGCAGATAAAGTAAGTATTTTGTACTGTGAAAAAGTTTTCTTCTATTTGGGTTCCAGGTATCTAATTATGTAGCTAGGATTAATTAATAACCAGCCTTGTTTAAAAATAGTGTGTTAGTTGGAAGAATAAACATGCTTTTTTCTGTCCAGATAAGAAATATTTGTTTCTAAATTGTAATCTCTCTTTTTATTGATCTCGATAAACGTGAAGTAATCGTCGAATAAAAATGTAAAATAATTATTTCTTTAAAAATTTCTTTCAGCGAAACAAATTACTGAAGCCATTGACAACCGCGCGGATCCTTGCGACGACTTCTTTGCATATGCATGCGGCAAATGGAAGAGAGACACACAAATTCCTACAGGCATTTCTGCTGTTAACCGATTCACAGAAGCAGCGAACAAAAGAGACCAGAATATGAAACGTACGTAACCGAGCATTCTTTTATGTTGATGTGATCAAAATTAGAGATATTGTAATTGCTGTGCTGAACTAATAACACGAAGTGTCGAAATTCGAGAAGTATAAAAGAATAGATAATAGAGAGTGGTTCGTCTTAATCGGGCATAGATATCTAGTGAATTTCTTTAACTAAAATTTGAGATAAAGGTCGACAGGAATAATTTTGGCCACGTTGGTGGATATCAGGGGCGTAGACAAGGAGAGAGCTTATGGGGCTTCTGCCCCCCCCCCCCCCCCCCGAAAACCAGCTGAACCTGCCCTGTATTATACGCACGCATTTTGACCCCCTTCTCCCTCTCTCCGCACCCGAGGTCATGGGCATCCCAGTCACCTCAGCCCCCCCCCCCCCCCCCCCCCCCCCCCCGGCCCGAAAAAAATTCCTGGTTACATCACTGCTCTAAGTGCTTGAATTCTGCTCGAAATGCGCAATTGCTTGCACAAATGAGTAGGTTGCTGAAGAGCCAAATTACAGTTAATTTTTAAAAGTTCTTTTTTTTTTTTCAATTCTGCAAAAATAAGATTTCGCCGAACTGAATACTCAATTGCCCATTCGTTTCCCTCTCAAGTTGAGAACATATAAAATGACACTGTACACATGCTCGTCTTCTGAAGTCGCTGTAAACTCGAATACGTCTGCTGTGCGGTAGTTTACTTACCTTTCAGCCTCTCCACTATATCATTTATATGTTTCAGAATTACTAAATCAACAGACTTCTCCAAGGGGAACACAGTCCATTGACCAAAAGCTGGGCATTTTATTCAGAAAGTGCACGGGGCGTAAGCATTACAATTTTGTCTTCTTTATATTGGCTAAAAGCATAACTTGCCACGGAATCACCACATTTCAAAAGTACAGTGGGCAGCACTAGTTTGCGGGGCACGATAGCGCCAGCCGAAAAAGACTTGCTGCGCCTTCTTGTGGCGGGTTGCAGCCCTCAAGACTCACGCTTTGTGCCTGCGCTTCCTTCCGTGTTCGCACTCATTATCTTTTTTTTTTTTTTTTTCGCTCGCATTTGTTTGATGTTTACTAGATAACACGGATTCAACAAGGTAGAGGGGCTTAGAGCGACAAACCGGGGTTCCCGTCTGCACTCGAAAGTGACCCCCCATAAGGCCGCTCCCATTGTACGCAAATTCGACCACTTGTCACGTGACCAAACCAAATACGTGACGTCACACACAAAAAAAGATGGCAGCGCCCAGGAAGCGGCTGGCCCCAGCTGGGCCAGAGCATTGGCCGGAGCTTGTCAGATGCTTTGTTCGTTGTCGTTTGTCTCCGCGAGTTGATTTCAGACGCGGAAGCCGTCATATGAGGCCGGTCGAAAGCGAGTTCAGAGTTCAGCGTGGTGTTTGACGTAGGTATAACGTGAAAATACGGAGGAACGGTGTGCATTTGGCTGGTGACCGACGGGGATATTGCCACGGAAGAGACAATCTGACCTACGTTGCTCGGACTTCGGATTGATTCGATCGGAAAAAATTTAAGGCGACGTTTCTGTGCTCTGGTTGACCATAGGAATGTTCGAGGTCTGCAGTGAAGCGTGTGCAATATATTTGGATACACAGTTTAGCGACGGAAATTGCATGAGTCGTGCTTGGCAGTGTGCAATCGTAGTGCCGCTTCGTTCAAATGACCGAAGGCTCACTGCGGTTGTGCGGCGCACCGGAGAGCTGCCTTCAAGCTGGTATATAGTTCCTGTGCCGGGCTTTAGGTGATGCTGTGCTGCTTCCTAAACTGTACTGGCGTAGACGTGCACTTTCACGGAACACAGGCGTTGCAGTTGGTTTTAATTCCGCTGGTCAATATAGAGTCGCACGTTTCGTCGACGCAAAATTTTCATCAACACTCGTTAGGCGAACTGCAAGCTGCATATTTCATGTCACGTGTTATCTACGCAGTCCATCCGCTCACGCCGCTTTGCGGCGGCAGTCTGCAGGGGCTTATTACCAGAAAAGTGGTCCCACATCCATTTCAGTTTAAACTATTAAAGCGGAAAAGACAAGACAAATCAGGACCTGTCTAGAAGGTGTAATCAGAGCGCATAAAATATTAAACAGAACGGACATCTATATCATTTGCATCATCCATCGTCACAAAAAGTCGTGTTTGTGGTCTTAATTTTTCAGCAATAATATTAATATAAGGTTTATGCAAAAAACAAAGTATACTTTTCTTCATGTTAACGCTCAAGGGATAAAATGCTGCGCGTAGCTCGCGTTTTTGGCATAGCACACATGTTTGTTTGTTTTCATTTGTATGTTCAGAAAAAGAGCACAAAACACAATTTTGCTCATGTCTTCAATAATTATTTTAGAGTACTCGAAAGAGAGTGAAAACAACGAAATAAAGAAGTTATTGAAGGAAAAGTTTGGTAGTTGGCCAAAGAAGGTTGACTCTAAATCCAAACCTGCTGAATCTACAAAACTTCTGAAGGACGTCGGTTTCCTTGGCCTTCTTGGAATAACTGTGGATATCAATGTGAATGATATTAGTAAATACGCTATAGTTGTAAGTATGTTTTTACTATAATATCGAGTATGTATGAGTTGATTAAAGGGATACTAAAATGAAAAAGAAAAGGTTTTTCGAAACGGCATGATAAGGCACGTTTTCTTCACGAAAAGAAAAGTTGGGCCATATTTACGCCTTTAGACGTAGTTTAGTTGGAGGTCGGGGTCCTCTCTAAGTCCCGCCGACAGATTAGTGGCCGCGCCATTACTACTGGAGCGGCTTGGTTTTTTGATCGAACATAATCGCAAGCCTAATGTATCACTGTCACGCCAACCGCTGCGTCTAATTTGCCGTCAGACACCGCCTGGTAGTCTGATAGTATGGAAGCTTGGGCGAGTTGGTGAACCATACTTGACGGTGACAGCGCAGGAAAAATCAATCTCACACCAGACACTCAGGAAGACAAGCACACGCGCTGAACTTACAACTCTTGTGTATTCGATTACTTCATTTTTCTCTTCAACGTCTGGGTTGACTTTTCAGAACGTGATAAGTAGTAGCACAAAATACAAAGGAAAATTCGAAAGAGAAGGCAAAAAAACAGTAAAAGAGAAAAAAATGAAGAAACGGAAAACATATATAAACGAAACAAAAACAAAAGAAGAAACCTCTTCTTAATTTTCAGTCAGCACACTCCAAGCTTGTTAAGCGAGGCATTGTTAAATTATGTCTCACCAATGCGCTTAATAAGTCTTGTATTCATTCACTTAAGGTTAGCTTTAATGCTCAAATTGCCAGGTTAAAGTCAACCGGATATTCTATAGTCAGTTACAGGTTAAGAAGGTAGCGGCAAATGCCCCTCAAAGGGAATCAGATATCCCTCCGCCACCTCCGCATCCGATAGCGTCCCACCGTTTCCGTGACGTCGCGGCCAACGCGCGAGGAGGGTCTTGCCTTTCTGTACATATTTGCTTTATCTTTCGACTTTGACTTAGCATTGTGGAAGCCACGAGAGGGAGATTAGAGTTCGCCCCCACCGACGGAAACAAATACGACCTTCGGGGATTAGCTTCCCCCCCGATGGATACAAAGGCTGCTTTCAGGGGCTCGGTTCCCTCTCCGATGAATACAAAGGTCGCTTTCTTAAAAAGTGGGATCGGAGACAAGTGGGAATCCATTGAAGCGGAACAAGGAGCGTTTCCAGTGAACTCTTCTTTCGACTGCGGAGAGATTTGAAACGGGCGCATCACACTTGTGGGAGGAGCTTCTCCTACCTTCTTGACTTGTAACCGACTATAGTGCATTACTTACAGCCGTGGCAGAGGATTTATTAAAGAGAATAAGATGGGGTGAACGACCTAAACGCAGTACAGAAAAGAAAAGGACGGCCGTTAAGCGCCGTTCACACTCTTGCGACCGAGTAAGACCGAGAGAGACCAGAACGGTTTTAAATCCTCTTGCGACTTCTTAAGACCAGCTCCGCTGCAGCGGAGCTGGTCCTAAGAGATCGCAAAAAGCTTAAAAACCGGTCTCGTCTCTCTCAGTCGTACTCGGTTGCAAGAGTGTGAACGGGCCTTTATTCCATATATACGTAAAGTTTCGAACGATCTAAAAAAGATAGGTAACCGCATTAACATTAATGTTGCTTTTTCAGCACCAAATAAGCTTCTAAGCCTGTGCAGGAAGGTAAACAGATCGGCACACCGGGAAGTTGGTTGTTCGAAAAAGCACCAAAAGAGCTTTGTAAATTGTACTGAAGGAGTCGTATATTCTGTCCCACTCTCATGTGGTAGAGAGTATATAGGCCAGACTGCAAGGTGTCTGAACGATCGTTTAAGAGAGCATTTTTATAACACCCATCGAGTCGTAGCTGGACACTTGGGAATTCATTGTCGCGATTGTGGCTGTGTAGCACATTTTGAAAATTGTTCTGTGATAGGTAGGAGTAGAAACGCATTGACTAGAGAAATAATAGAAGCGGAAAGAATAGCACAGCTGAACGACAAGTGTGTAAGTAGTCCTTTTATAGCGCTGTCGACCAAAGAGCTCCAATTTCTATCTAAATGATAGCGATGAGGGGGAAGGACGATTTGTAAAAGTGTTTCGTTTATATATGTTTTCAGTTTTTTTATTTTTTTCTCTTTTACTGTTCTTTTGCCTTCTCTTTAGAATTTTCCTTTGTATTTTGTGCTACTTCTTCTACTTATCACGTTCTGAAAAGTCAACCCAGACGTTGAAGAGAAAAATGAAGTAATCGAATACACAAGAGTTGTAAGTTCAGCGCGTGTGCTTGTCTTCCTGAGTGTCTGGTGTGAGATTGATTTTTCCTGCGCTGTCACCGTCAAGCCTGGTAGTCGTGCGAGCGGACGCGCGGCAGCCTGCTGCATCATCCGCCATTCTACTACCCTTTATCATTGTCTGGAACGCCCGTACAACACAGCCATCAAAGCGGCACGTCCGCGTCCGCCATTGCTTTCGTCCGTCTGCTACCCCGCCCCTGTCTAAAACTGTCTGCAACGCTTTGAAGAAACGACCCCGAAGCTGGTTTATAGCAGTCCATCATTTACAAGCCATGGTCCAATACAACCGTCTGCCAGCATCCGAGGATCTGCGATAAAAAACGACCTAAACAACTAAAACATTTTTCAGTTAAGTCTGCAATTCGTTCTGTTGTGTTGACCTTCCTTTTTCTTTTCTTTTTCATTGCTTCCACAAACAATTTGGATAGGCGTCAGGAGGCACAATAAAATTGTGACCTAAAGATATTCACTCTAGTAAGCCATATGACTGCACAAAACTTGAGAGCTACAGGCCTTCCGCAGCGAAATGTCGAAAACAGAACTAGACAAACCTGTCGCGAGACAAACATTCGACTGCTTTAAGAAGAAGGGCTCACAAATCCTTACCAGTGTAGGTTACCTCTCGGTACTTAAACCATGCTAGCAATCAAGACGGTTGCACGGTTCTCAGAGCAGGAGGGCCGCTTTTACGGGAACGGACGCGTTTAATCGGCATCAAGGTGCGCAAACGAACAAATCAAGTCAGATCGAGCAAAATAGTTGACGTGGGACGCAGGCTTAAAGGGGGGGGGAGGGGGGGGGGGGAGGGGGGGGGTGCAACGATTTACGGACTTCAATCAAAAACTTGTGGAAGTTGCCCTCTGACACTTCTGGTGCCCTAAACTCGTCAAACCCAAAGTTGGAGCCGAAAGTTCGTGGAGCGCGCCGATTGGACTCCGGCGAAAAAAAGCGCGAAGTCATCATCGCGATAGCCCAATCAGTGCGCTCCGCCAACTTCGGCCCCAGCTTTGTGTTTGACGAGTTTAGGGCCCCTGAAGTAAAGAACAGAACACCGAGTTCGCCTGCGTGTCCTAGTGTTTGTCTAAAAAAAGATAAATATTCGCATTTCTGGCACCCCTCAACTCTCTCGCAGACTTCAGGGTCCCACTTGGTCCCCCTCCTAGTGACGTAATTCGGGGTGCCGTGTAGCTTCCCGCGTGCTCTCTCGGAGGACGGTTCCTCTCTTTCTCACTGCTGGCATTAGCGGGTGTTATGCTGCAGCTTAGAGCCGACCGAGGTGACGGAAGCCTTTCGCCGTAGTTCCTTCGGCTGCCACTCGCGGCTGCAGGTAAAGGAAAAAGTTCGACTTCTGCTTTGCGATTATGCAGCTTAATCGCAGCAATTTTAATGAATGAAATGTTTTATCTGTCCTCCTGGACACGATCCACAACTTAAAAATAACGAGATGCAAATTCTTTTAGTTTTAAAATTGTGGCACCCCTCCCCCCCCCCCCCTTTCAGCCAGTTCGGCCATTAAACAAGCTCCAGCACAGGGTGTACTTGCGACAGTCGTTTACGGCAAACTACGTTGGTTGAGATCCTCCTTTGAATATCTCGGTGAATGCGAAGCGACTCGCTCTCATAAAAATAGACAGACTCATCAAGTCACGCGTTGTGAGAAACTTCTCGCAGCAGACGCCAGCAGCCATGTTTGTTCTTTGAACCAGAAGTAGAAAGGACGATCTAGTCATATTTTTGAAAAATATTACTCTGTCTATAGAGGGTGTTTCTCAAACACAAAAAAAAAAGCCAAATAAAACACTTCTGCGGAACGGCGAAACTATTTCTCAACAAACATTCCACACATCAATTATCCCTATATCCAATGAGAGCCAAGAAACGGAGCTCAGCTACCTAAGCACCTGCTGTCATGGGCTGGGAGTAGATAAGGGCTACCTCCACCTAATTTGTGTCTAAAAACCAAAATATTGAGGCAAACATTTTTTTTTTCGTTGAATAGCGTTATATAAAAATTTATTTTTTATTTCGAATTTTTTTATTTTACTGTTTCTTTAAGTTATGATAATACTTGTTTCTAATCAATAGCACAAATGCGCTTTTGTTTTGTCTGATTAACTTATATTCTTAATGATTTCACGCTTCCAGTTCTTGAGACATGTTTGCTCTAATTTACTGAAATCACTACAGGGTATGTTGCTCTAAAATGGTGTTTCCAAGATATTAAAAAATTTGTTTATGACAGTGATCATATTTCCAACAATGGCAAAAGGTAGACCAAAGTTAGCCTACAGATACGTTTATACTCAATCAGCCATATTCACCAGTCGTGACAAACTAGCGCTCTTTTAAACTTCGCAGCACATCTACGTAGTCACGAGCTAAGCGAAGAATCGGCGACTAAGGAGCGGCTGGCAGCGACTGGTAGACCCTGCGATATTCAAGAGCGCGAAGCAAGTGGGTTACCATCTATTCAGGATGAACAAGCCGAAGTGACAGAAAAAAAAAAGAGATTACCCATTTACGTATTTGGACGCCACTGCGTAAATGGGGAATCCATCAGTAAAAACTAATAGTTAAATATAGATTAGCAAAATAAATTGCTATAACGAGAGGTCTGTCCGGAATACAATTTTCTTAAAGTAAGAAAAAAAAACTGAAGAGAGAAAACACGGAAGCCGCATTACCAGCGACATACGTAAATATGGAAGCGCCGTTAATGCGGGCTCTCTTGACGTCCAGCGCCTCTCTGAGTTCGCG